AAAGATCAGAATGGTTCTTTGGATGATCACTCAATACTAAACATGTGGATACATTGAAAAAATACATCATTGGCACCTACACAGAGAGCAGATAAAACTGCAAGACCAGGAAGCGTACTATGAAATCCAGAACAGCAGCTTAGGATTTGAACTTACCCATCCATTACCAAGTTATACTAACCCAATGGCACCTTAGCTTTTAGAGGTTTATTCAGTAAGCTCATGAGAGAACTCCCTCTCCCTCTTTCTCTCTACTTCGCTCTTTCTTAATCCTCTGGGTAGATCACAACCATCCTCTTTTGCTTATCATAGCTCAAATGGGCACAGCGTTATAGCACTGAAAAAGCAAGTCTGTATGTGCACAAGAACCATCACATTTGACTAGTTGCCCCATTCGTGCTTTACAGCACAGAAAAAATAGCCCTTTTCCCTTTTTTCCTTCTGTCACTGCCCATTGTTCCCCCAGCCCTCAGAACGGTGCCAAAGCTTTCCTCGAGCTGGAGAGAAACAGAGGGACACAGGCAAAAATGCAGAATGGGATTATTCCTTGCAATTCTGGTTGAGTAAGTGTTGGTCCTAATTAGCCTAAGCATTTGTGACTAGCTAAAAAGCAACACACTCATCCAAATCAAATCCCTTCGCCCCACTTTCAGTCCGATTACACAATAACTGGGCCCAGAATGATTACGCCAGGCCCATGGCAGCTCATGAAGAGAGGGACAGAGAGAGGTGTGAGTTTGTTTCTGACTTGAGTAGATGAGTAATAGATGCAAGTGAGTCATACCTGGAAAAACTGATACACACAAATAGGCTCAGGACACACACACATGATCACAAAATCTCTCTCACACATATATAATGGCAAAGAGGCAATAGTCATTTAATGTTTTTTTTTGGCATTTTAGCTTTTTTCTTGACTGTCAACATGACCGTCCTTTGTATGTTCACAGGGACTTGCAAATTACTATTGGTCAGAAGATGCATTGCGTACATTTAATCTATTGAAAATGATGTGAGTGGCATTTCTATCATTACTTTCTCCCCCATTTTTGGATACAGAATTTCTGTAATTAAAACTGAAAATATCTATCTGAGCTGCAAAATGACCACATCACTTTCACTGATAACTGCTTGCTGGAGGGGATACTGGGAGGCGGACTGAAGAGATATAGGCACACTGCTGGGCTCGGACTTCAAGGATAAAAGCTGAGCGATTATATCCTGCTGATTTTAACTAAAGATCTATATACGCAATGTTTAGTGCTCCCTATGAGCACCAACTCTAAAAGGGCATCTTCTCTCTCACCTGGGGGAGGGGGGGGTGTCGACTATGAATGTTCTGATGTTGGTGCCAACAAACAGTAAGCTTTAATTCAGTGGTGGACAATTAGTATTACAGTTAAGTTAATGCTGGACATTGTAACATTTTTTGAAATTACAACAGTTTTCTAAATTAAACATAGACTTTTGATTTTCATAAAAGACATGTTTCAAGTGAAGCTTATAACAGACATTATGACATATCTTTTACCTTGTATGTAGGAGTTTTACACTGACTCTTTAAGTAAAGCCATGGCATTAAGCTGTTTTCCATTACAACTGACTGAAAACCGGCAGTTAAGCTACAGTTTGTATTCAGAGTCAGTGTCTAGAACTTTATATTGGTATCATATGTTTTGTTTTGTCTTGTCTCTGTGTATGTTTCCCTGCTGGCTGGCTCAGAGATGCTACACCCAAGCTATGTGGCTTCCCAAGCCAGCCAATAACGACAAGCTACACACAGTTATGAGACCTTCAGAGCTGAGAGAGACCTTCTCCCATGGCTAATGACTTTTTTGAGGCCAGCTAAGTGACTCTTTTGTTCAACTCTTGGCCTAACCTTAGAGTTTACTTTGCTGTATCTACCTAGATTCCGCAGAGAAAACATATATATATATATATATATATATATATATATATATATGTACAGGGTGTCCCAAAAAAAATTACATTTCGTAGTCTAATAACATACCCAATTCTCCCTCAAATGATCTCAAATTTTAACAAGATGTGTAAAAACTAACCAAGTTTAATTTTTAATGTTTTTTTTTTTCTTCAGGTTGAAGAATGGCGTTCACTAGAAATGAAAAGGCATTTTGTGTGTTAGAATATGCTCGAACACAGTCAAACAAGAGTGTGCAAGAAAATTCAATAAAAATGCACAAACTTCACAAAGCTTCACAAATGTAATATCTTCCGATACTGGTGGTCATCCAGATCCCTTTGCCCTGCACAGACATGTCCCATGTCCAAATCTGCCTTCCAGTTTGTGCATTTTTAAGAAAATTCAATAAAAATGCACGAACTGGAAAGCAGATTTGGACATGGCACATGTCTGTACAGGGCAAAGGGATCTGGACGACCACCAGCATCTGAAGATATTACATTTGTGAAGCTTTGTGAAATCGGTTATAAAATCTACATCTCTCCGAATTTCTTGTTCGAATTTTGATAAATAAGTCTTGTATTGTTCAACATGAGGCCTATTTAATTTTGTTTGCCTAGGACATGTAGTTACTCAGTTGTCAAATGATGTCAATTTTTTTGGGACGCCCTGTATATATATATATATATATATTATTTTAGTTCCCAGAAATCATTAGGCTTTGGTGGTTACCGACTGAATTTATTCATGCACTTATACAGATATTTACATAATTCTAAACAAATTCTCAAAAAGGCTTTGTTCTGACAGTTTTCCTTTATCAAAGCTAATCTGAAAGACATATACTCTAGGAAACTACAGCCTCTGATGTGACAATGGTTTGAGTTAGTGAGAATAAATGAAAATTTTTCTGCTCTATGATTTCTGTAATTTTTTGACTAGGATCAAAGCACATTTGAATGCTCCCTATGTGCAGTTGTTCTAAGAGAGCAGCTCCTCTCTTACCTGGCTCTCAGAGAGTATTCACACTCTTGTTCTCTTTATTCTACAATTGAAGGAGTAGGATAATGGAGAGGTTTTTAACTACTTTTTTTATGCTGTCTCTTTCCCGCTTTCTCTCTCTCTCTCTCTCTCTCTCTCTCTCTCTCTCTCTCACACACACACACACACACACAAACACACACAATCCCACATCCTTAATGCACAAATATCTTATGTATGCATTCAAAAACACCAAACATGAGTCCTGAGTTATGCATCTGCCAATGGTCCTTAATGCCTTATAGTTCCCCAGAGATGAATGAAGAATTAATTTAGCATGTTAAGTAAGGCAGTGGCCATGATGGGGCAGAGGACGACTGTAGCGGCTCCTCTGCCCAACCCTCCTCTAGCTACAGAATGGAGGAACTCATTAGAAATGGGCATGGGAGGACTTTAAAGGACCATGATTTATGAGAGACTGTTCCAGTAACCCTCCCTCCTTAGCACAGCACTCAGTGAACAACAGCCATATAGAGAAAGAAAGACAGAAAGAGAAAGGGCCAACAAACAACCTTCCCGCAGCCAATGGATTACACAGTAAATGCACATCAAAACAGGCAGATACAAGAGCACTGCTATCTTTACAATAACGCTCTAGTACTCTGTCTTGCAAAGGGCCATTATAAAGCTCCCATTAGCAACTAACTCAGTCTGCTGACCTTTCCTTCATACTGTAAAGCTCTTGACACCATCCTGTCACAACTACACACAACAACCACCAACCAGTCAAACAATAAGTATCAACAATTATAAGTAAACACTCATTTATCTCATTAAAAACTGTGGACATTTTGAGACATATATTCTACCCTTCTACATAACTTTCATATTATTTTCAAAGTAGTTACTGCATAGCTTGTAGTATTTGCTGAATAATAACCCTGGATAGTGTGAGATTAAGCTAAGTTTAAAATGTATGGTCATGAGATGCATAAGGTCATTTGGAAAAGAAAAAACTGCTCAAGTCTTTTACCTTTTAATGTTCAGGCAAAAGTAGCTAATTCTACCTTTTGATCTACTCTTTGTGATTTCTCAATGTGATTTCCACATTTATTCTAAGATGCAAAGAACAGGATCTAACAGCTGAAAATGTGTAGATTTAAAACAAACCATTTTGAGCATGAAATCAAAAGCATAGGGACATACTTCATATTTAAGTTGCTTTTTATTGTTACTCTTTCAAGAGAAATCAGTAATAATCATTTAGTGTTTTAATGTGTGTACATGCTTGCTTAGAAACTACTGCAGTACATACAACAATAAAAACAGCATGGTGCTTCTTTTATGTAAGTGTTGCCCTGATATTGATATCGTATCAGTGTTGGCCCTGATAATGGCTGTTAAATACAGTATGGTTATCAATATTATCAATAACAATAACAATACTGATAACATGAAGAAATTTCTATGGCACGTGCGCTACTGAGTGATCCTTGCATGCACGTCAGTAGATGGAGCTTAACTGAAGCAAGGAATGGTGGTGTGGGGATTATGTTTTACTACTATACCATTAAGACAAGGAGTAAAAAAATGCTGTTAGTATTTTTTTTTTTTTGGGAACTCCAGTTCCCTTTGCACTGTGTTAAAATTTCATGATAAACGGAACTATAAAAACAGTCCAAAATTACTTGGAATAAATCTTGTTGCATTAACTTCTATTACAAATTAGAAATGTTTCTTTTTTTCTCCTGTAAAGTTATCATTTTGGAGACACAAAGTTTTGTTCTGACAGCAACAAAAATATGGTATGGTATTCTACGGTACAAATTCCAGGATTTCTAAGCATATATCAAATCGTTTAGATAAAGCATTGGTACTAGCATGTACTTCAGGATCAGGTAAAATTTCTGTGCATTTCTATTTTATATAGCACACAGAAAACATTTCCACTTCCGCTGATACATTTTACTATGCCCAGCATGCACACATTCCAAGCACTCGGGGCAGATTTCAATGAACTAAAGCGGACAAATCTCTATTTGATAATACTTTATAATTTTATTTTAATGAAAGATGGACGTTCCTGGCTTCTTACCGTAACACACAGGAGTAGTGGCCGACATCCTGTAATTCGGCTGGTCGAAACCAAATGGAATCCTCCTCCTTGCTCATCCTGATTCCGTCAAAGGAGATGGGCTCCTCGAAGTCCCCGTGCCCGGCGCTCTTATACCACATGAGGCTGAGGCCCGCGCTCTGGGCGTGGGTGTAGTTGGCGCGAATATATCCGTAAAACAATGCACACTTAATCCTCACTGGCTCCCCAAGAAGCACTTTGTATTTCAAGTAGTCCACTGACCAGTCCGTGCAGCCGTCCACTGTTAATAAGAGAGACAGAAGCATGTCAGTGTTGTGAAGTAGTAACAACACCATAACAACACATCAGAGGATACAAATATTTTTAATATTACTTTTCAAAATTAAATGTTTAACTTAAAAAACTTAAGCTTCATTAATATGAACCAATATCTGGAGGACATTTATTGTTACAGGGAATAAAGTGATTTGTTTTTAATTAGTTTCCTAGGTAAGATCTTACACAAAAACACCTAAAATTTAGATTTTAACAGAATAAAAATTGTTAAGTAACATATGACAAATACAGTCTGGGGTAGATTCACTTATTCAGTGTTAACATTTGGAGTACAACAGCAGATCAGCAAGATGGAGAGGCAGGCAGCGGAGACTAACAGGCTCATTATATTGTGTGTGTGCGCGTGTGTGCGAGTGTACGTGCATGCTGCCTGCAGCTGTGTGTGGATGGATAGCAGTTGACTGAGCACCCAGCAGAGGCTGAGCAACGGCACCAGCTGTGACCCAATACAAGCCAGAGAGAGAGATAGAGAGAGACAGAGACAGAGAGAAAGATAGAGACAGAAAGCAAGACAGAGAGAGAGACAACATGGAAGAGAAAGCTTTGCAGAAAGAAGAGTGAGTGAGAGTGAGTGTAAGGAAGCATGGGAGAATAGACAGACATACAACCTGACAGAGGGAAAGAAACTGAGAGTCTGGGGGGGATGACAAACACAGACAGTAAAAATGTGAGTAGAAGACAAAGTAGTAAATGGACAGTTTGTAGTCCCAGTTCCAAACACAGTGGGCAGACAGTGGCTCACAAACCACAACCCCACCAGACTCCAGAGGACGAAGTATTTGCAGAGGCCACAGCTCTGCTTTAAGGTCTGATTGGTGTATCAGTCTATGAACTATTTCAAACTACACTGCTCTATTCTTTTTTCTGAACACAAGTCCACACAAGCACACTCTACATGCTAGACTTGTGGTGATTTGTGGTAGTATTGTGAATTGCTGACAGCTTCTAGCGATGTGCACGGGCACTTGGGTAACCATTCCAGGGCCAGTATTTAAATATTGAAATTCAAATACTGAATATATGAAATATTCTGGTATTTGTTATGTTATGGAAAGTCAGGGAGAAATATACAGACTGACAATGCAAGGAATTGCCATTAGGTTTTAAAATGACTTGCTCATGTTTAAGTTTATTATACGTGGCTCCAATGAGACATAAACACTAACATTGGTAACCATTAAACATTAGACTGGCTTAAAGTTTGACCAAAAAAAAAAATGTCTTGTAAATCACATTTGCCTCATTATGTTTTATTCCATTTTGTTGTCTACATCCTATACGAGCCCTAATATGACATATAAGAAAATAAAACAACATTTTATAGTGGTTGTGCCTCAAAACAGACCAAAGTCATGCTGTAGCTATCCATGAACAGAATGTGTTATGAACTTAAATGATAAAATAACTAGGCCTTAAATGATTAGGCCTAATAGCCTAACAACAATAACAGTCTACAACAACAGAAGCTTATACGCAACCTTAGTGCAGTAAGCTTTACCTTATGTTATCATGTTAACAGTAGGTGATTTATATGGTGCTGAAGTGTGGTTTATTAAACCTAGAGCACTAACAACCAAAATATACCAAAAGCTACATGTTCCTGGGCAGAAGCACAAGCATGTTTATTTTCTCTCGTGGCATTACCATGTTACCTGCTGCCTGGCCCCATGATACAACTGTCAATGTGGTTAAGGGGCAATCATCAATGCGGCTAAGAGCATAATCAGACAATGCTGTATTTCACACAATCACAAGCTTCTACCTACTACACGCAGGCCACAGCAAAAATATGTAGATACTGTGCTGAACACTGTTTTGCTAATTTTCTAATTGAAAATAAGTAAAGATACCCTATAGAGAACACACTTCTACACAATTTAACACACAATTGCTGTTTATTTGCTGAATTTAAAATAATGGGGGAAGAAAAAATTAATATGAAAAAAGGCCTGTGTGAAAGTTATAGCAGAGTTGGTTCCCTATAGAATTCAAACTTCCCTTATAGAATTCAAACTTTTGCCTATGGCTGTATTTAAAATACAAACAGACACACAATAAGGTAAAAAGAGGCATACAGACAATGGTCAGACAAAGGGGCAGACAGACAAACTCCTGCTGTTTCCACCATCAGCTTTTTTGGAGATAGGTAAAGCCTGTCACATGTACATCCTCAGTGTCAATCAGCCATGAACGAAGGCCTATTCATTTGCTCCTGTGCTCCCTGCTGGTCAGCATCGACGCTCACCAGCAGCTGCACTGCCTAATGACGGTGATGATCGTAATCGCACCCTTTCAGGTCCTTACGCTCGGGTCATCTTGTGTCCCTTTCGGTCCAACCCCCCGCTCTGCCTCTTCCATTATCTCTCGTTCTCCCTCTTTTCCTCCCCTCCCATCCCATCCCTCGCTCCACTCCCCGCTGGAACAGCTGGTGAGGCCAGCTGCCGAGAGCTCAACAGGCTCGGCTAATTGTGTCTCCGTGAATGTTTTATTTACAAAAGAAACATCTCAGCAGCTAATTAACAGAAGGGAAAGCATGTCCCATTATTCATCTCTGCTACTTTCAGTACAGTCAATCACACCAATTTAATTTATATATTTAGTTATTTTCCTTTTTTTACATTTTCCATTTTAATTGTAGCAGGGGGCTTTCAGAGGGATGCGCTCAGAGAATAGAGTGCTGGGAGGCCTCAGGGTCAAGTGCTCTTTGAGCAAACACTCACCATTCTGCTACAAGCCCATGTCTTTATGCAATGAGTGAATCGGATACAGGATCATCATGCACTATCAGGGGCTATACGTGAAAGAAAGCAGCCAGGACAATTACGGCATGGGCGCGCTTTCATTTGGCCATGAACAGGAATAACAATATCCTCTGCAAAGGCGTTTTATTAAAACCAGCCAACCAGAATCAGCAAAGAGTGCAGAGCATGGAGGAATTCCCTTATTGCCTTTGAATTAGCTTAAATCCGTCAAACCCCAGAAATCTCTATCCCACTGTTGATCTGCGAATGGAAATGAAAAAATAGATAAATATATAAATAAATAGAGAGAGATGTGAGGATATAGGCAATGTATCTGGGTGCGGGAGTGACAATTTTGAATATAAAAGGGGCAGAAAAAAAGCTTACTATAAGTGCTACATGTCTCCAGTGCCATGGCAACGGGGGAGGGGCGCGTGACTAGTTGCTGTGGCAATGTGGTGTGGCAGGGGTGGGCGGAGCTAAACCTTGCTAATCAAGCTCCAGCTAATTAAGACTCGTTCTGTGTGGTAATAACTCCGAGGCGTCGTGGCAGTCTGTAACTAAAACAAGCAATTGCTCAGACGGATAAAGCGTAATTATCTCCCTTAATTATCGCCACTGTCTTCTCTATCTGCATGAGCAAGACGCCCACAACTGCAAACTTCATGTGCATGTCTCTGCTCATAAACTTCTAACATCATCACATCATAAACTTATCACAGCAGGCACACTAATGAGAGATTATCAAATAATGGTGTGCCAGTGCTGATGAAATAGGGGTTGCGTGAAGGTCCTGGAGTGTCCGATGCCCTTCTGACAGCACAACTGACTTTCAGGATTACGACTAGCTCTCTGCTCCAATCTGCCTCAACATCTCAGTCTTTCATTTGGTTTTTTGTCTCTGTCTTTTGTCCCTCCATCCGCTGAAATTGCAGTGGTAAAGGTGAGGCCATGTGCTGGCTGTCCACTCTGAAGGAGAGTCATTAGGCCTTGGTGTAGCTCAGATAAAACAGCTCTAAAAAAGATTATGCTGTGCATTAATGTGTTTTTGTGCAAAGACCTTGAGAGTTTGCCGTGAAAATAAAATCACTTTGAACATACCAGTTATCGAGTGGTGTGAGTGTGTTTTGTTTCAGTTCAATTTAAAGTTTAGCTTTAATTTCAATAGAGTAGAGCTGTTTTGGGTTTGTTATATATGTGCGTCAAGCATCAAAAGTTTTAGGGGGGTGAATGAGCAAAAAGGCTTCCTTCAGATAGTTTTGGAGCAGAGGTTTGAAATTACAGCACAGATCTGATTGCGTTTGGCTGCTAGTTTTGAGTCCATTTAATGTGAAGAATCAAAGCTGTAAAAACATCCTGCGGGCAACCCATTGATTTTTCATTTTAGATCTGGGATGTTGAAAATGTCAGCAGTTTAATTGAGTAGTTAAAGCTCAGAGAGAGAAAAGAGAGAGTGAGGGAAACAGCGAGAGAGTGAGAAAGAATGAGGGAGAGGGCAGAGAGACAGAGACACAGAGAGACAGAAGAGAAAGTGAGGGGGAAAGAATATAAAACATGCAAAGGAAGAGGGGTTGTTCAGTTCAGAATATAAATATTTAGTCCCAAGAAAATGGATTCAATTAGAGAATTTTCATGAGGATATTTTCAACATAGTTACACAGGCTGAGATTACAAAGTTCTTTTTTTCCCTTCCCTTCTGCTCATAATTTTTACTGATGCTCAAATCTCTTATTATGAGTGAGCAAGCCATTTGGGTTATCATTCATTACACATCCATTTTAGTGCCAGAGAAAACTGTATAATCTTGCTGGCAGCACACAAACACATAGCCAAGCTTGATTAAACCCAATTAACATTTTCCTCCCAACATGAATTCTGGAGTGTTCTGCCATGTAGGGAGGCGTGGCCATGTTGCCTGCTTATGCAGAGATATGCACTGTGGATGCTCAGATTGGAGAAAGAACATTGCTGCAGTAGTCCCTGGCAATGGATGATAAGTATGGGCTGATTAATGCTTGCCTTTTCTGCTGATCTGAGACCAGTTTACTGTTCCCTTGGTGGAGAACAGGATTTAGACAACACAAACTGGTCCTATTAGGGGTGGGTGATACAATCTAATCATTTTGCTGATTTTTTAAGTGAAAATAAGTTGACATGCCCTCTACAGGAAACAAACTTAAATATGGCATTTATCTGCAAATTG